ACCTGAGAAGTCACTTCCCCAGCTCAGCAAACCCTGTGTTAACCTCCAGGTTCCTTCTCCTGTTAAGCGGGCCAAAGCCCCCCTCCAGCCTTCTGGCTCTGGGCTGTTCCAGAGTATCGGCTTCCCTCCCGTCCCAACTGATTACCCTGGTTACCGCTATCACCTCAAGCTTCCCCACCGCTCTGCTCTCCTCTCCACCCTGGCTGTTGCCAATCTGCCCCTCTCTGTCCCTGAACTTGGGACTCCCGCAGATGCCTCTGACTGTTCTCACTTTCGTATTAGCAATAAGCCTTCTTCCCACCCGTGGCTCCCCTGCACCCTCCCTATAGGGACAATAGTTTAATTACAGAAAACAACAGCCTTTAGTATTGCTACTATCGTTCTTCAGTATATATCAAACTAACATCTATTTGGAGCGAACCATGTTACAGTATTTGTGCTTTTAAATTATTTGTACTTCTGGCCCTATTAAAAAAATCAAATTAATTTCGACTTGGAATTTGGAATTTCCAGCTATTTCTGAACTGTACCTAAATACATTTCAGAAATTTTGTGGTGTTTATGTGAAGCAGTGTTTTCAGCGATGGTAACTGTAAAATCCAAACATCAATTCTGAAATAGTGTTGCGAATGCTCTGCCTTCTGTGGGCATATTAATATTCAGCTAAGACGTAATTCTTTGTGTAAAAATAATCAAACATTTCCTCTCATTAGTATGCAAATTTGCTTTCATCTTTAATAAATGGAAATATATATGTATATGCAACACTTGTTTTAAAATAAATTTCCTGACGACTTACTCTTAAGCAATTTTTTTTCATGGAAGGCAGCTGTGCTCTTCTGACCTGCATGGGTACAACCACCACAGGACGTTCATGGCGCATGCATGGCATTGCCCACTCCCTTCTTACAAGGGCTGTTTTCTCTATGTACTTTATACATGTACATAGTCATGATCTTGTAAAAATTCTCTGGTTACAAAGGGTGGGGAGTAGAAAAGATTTTAGAACTGGGACCACTCTGCCTGCTAAGGATGATCAGTGTTAAGCTTCAGACCCCCCCATTTTCCCCACCACCACACCCCGCCCCCACAAATGGCTATTTAACATATCTAAGCTGGACCTGGTAGCCAGGTTCTCCCAGCATCCCTCAGTTACAGGGTGTGGCTGGCATACCCTGCTCTCCACCCTGAATTCTCCAGCCCAGGGGCTGGACTGTCCTCCCCTCCCCCCCCAGGCACTTCCCTATAGAATCCAGACATTTTGGTTACCCACCCTTTTTGTACCTTTGGCCTCTTGGCTGCTGCACCAGGTTTCCTCTCCCTTCCCCTCTCCCACGTGACCCAGCTCAGCCTGGTCCTGTCCACTCTGGACTCCCCCAGATGTCCCAGCTCTAACTATGCTCTCCCACAGATCTACAATAAGCTGTCTCCTCCACCATAGCTAGGGGCAGTCATGTCCTCCTTTCCTTTTTCTTTATTCTTCTTTTTCTTTTTTTTTTCATTCAATTGGCTTTCCAGGTATAGCAGTCTCAGAGCCGTATCAAATCGTAATTATATTTAACCTTTTGTATCTGCCCACAATTGCTTTTCTTCTGCTAAAATACAACCACCCCAAAGCATACTAAAATTGTTGGGCATACTAAGAACCACCAGAAGTCCTCTGCCCATATTCCAGAACAGTTCCTTGGAGCTCCCCCTTCTCTCAACCCCAACCCTACCTTCAATGACAGCACCAAGGCCCTGCCACTGCCCTATTTTTCCTAGGTGCATGTTCCATATAAAGCCTGCCGTCGTGGCCTGGCCTGTTGCTGACCCCATCCCTATCCTTGAGTGAGGTTTGTGGCAGGGTGTGGTTTCTGTGGTATTCCTTGCCCCACCCCATCACTGAGAAGTTCTTTCACCACAAAACCCTTTCAACAATGGTCTTACTTTTACCCATTAGAAAAAGTGCTAAAATTGGCTAGGACTTCCCAGAATAAGTGAAGTAATGCATTGGACTACAAATAAAACACGCATGAAGCAAATCTGCAAGCAAATATCTCCACTCAAAACTATTAGGGAACAGGTAAGACATGAGGGCAATCTGGCTGTGACACATGTCACCTCATGAATGGCCAGGGTTGGCTTGGCTGACCTAGCTGGCTAGGCTGGTCCTCTCTTCCCCTCTCACCAGACTTTATGCATCTTTCCTGAGGCTGCGTGCCCAGTCAAAGAGGACAACCTTCCCCCAGCTAAAGGACCCACCTTCAGTCAAGAATATACTAGTAGCTGGGCAGTGCTGGCACACGCCTTTAATCCCAGCACTGGGAAGACAGAGGCAGGCGGATCTTTGTGAGTTTGAGGCCAACCTGGTCTACTGAGTGAGTTCCAGGACAGACTCCAGGACAGGCTCTAAAGTTACACAGGGAAACAAACCCTGTCTCGAAAAACCAAAACCAAACCAAACCAAAGCAAAACAAAACAAAAACCCTAAAAATAAATAAATAAATAAATAAATAAATAAATAAATAAATAAATCCTAACAGCTATGCTCCCCTGACAGAACTCCAAACACGCTCTTAAGCGGGCACAGTAAGAAAGAACTGAGACCTGTCCGCACATGCTCACCTACTCCAAATGCCTGCATCAAGAGATTGACCAAACGAACCCAGCCTTGCTTTCAGAGAGGATAAAGACTGTGTCCTACATGATCACAACAACGTCCCTCTCCACCTCCTACTGCAAGATCTGCCTGAGGAAAGCTCTCGGTTGACAGGAAAGATGTGCTATGCTCCAAGCAACCTAACAGGTCCCTGGCCTCACTTTCTTGGAGTTATTTCACAAGTTTCCTGGTGAAGACATAAAACAAGTATCTTCCCACAAGATACTTGTGGGAAGGAGGAGCTAACAGAACAAAGATTCCATCAAGTCCCGCTTGGGAAATAAATGTGCACAGGAGCACGGCTGGCTAAAACGTCCTATGCCCAGTCAACTTTTTACCTCATATACGGTTCAGCATCAGGACCACTTGGGGTGGGGACGGTAAATGGAATCTTGGGGAGGGCATCTTCAACTCCTCTCTACATCCAAGAGGAAATTTTGAAAACCCCATTACTATTACCATAGACCTCATGTGGCTAAGAAAATGATCACACACAGAAGTGTTTATAAAAAAGGCGTGTGCTTCTCTTACAACTCAGAACCTGACTACAACTCCTCTGAGAATATAATCATCAGGTATAATCCATCATCAGGTAGGAAAAGGCCAGTTTCCAAGACTCTGCAGGAAGACACAGTCCAAATAAACCCAGCACATTATTGTTTTTGCACTAAGACAACAAAGAAACTAAAAGTCGGGGGGGGGGGGGGCTAGCATTTCTGTTTTCATCTTTTACCTTTCCGCCTTTACTTTGGGTCATCTGGTCTACCTAGAACTGGTGGTACCTAGCCTATCTCATTCAGTCAAGGCTGAAGGCACAGGGAGAATAGCCTAAGGCATCTCACAAATTTTTAGAATATCTTGTTCCGGACACTCCCAAAGGGTACCAAAAAGTACCCAATCATCCTAAACCTGTAGCTATCTTGGATTTCAGGGACAGCAGAGGCTCAGGAGGCAGACTCTCCTTAGAGGAAAGCTATTATCCACCGTGATGAAACTGCACCCCCAGAGAAGTAATCATCTAAGACTTTGTGCCCTCGGTGAACTTTGGACCACCCTCCAGATCTAGAACTGACACAATGACCAGCTGGACCACACCCCTTGATGAGGACTTAATTATGACTACCTCTCTTCCCATCCTCCCAGTTCTTTCTCTAAGACTAATATTGCATCAGTGCCCAGAACTGGGACTCCTTTAGCTGTTCCTGCACATGGATGAAATCTCCTCTGCCTCCCACCATTCCTCTTATCTTAGGCATACTGAGAGACTGAGATGGCCAACCCTAGCTTTGTTCTGTTTTGTTTTAGATGGCAGTAGCCTTAAAACCACTGTTCCGTTTAGACAGCTGCTGTATACACTGCTGTCCTCATCACACGCCTGGCCGACTCTTTGTCCTTCCTCACTTAGTAATGAATCCCACAGCTCACTCTCCACACCCCTTGTTCTAGAGTTTAAACAGTCAAATCACTGTGGCACCTCACCTACTGAGGGAATAGGCAGAGGCATGAGGTCCACAGGGCCCATGTGTCTCTGCTATGTACACCAGTGGGCATGTGTCTTCCAGGGATGGGCACAGACCAGTAACAGCTCTGAGGACACTCTAGGACATGCAGTCTTTGAGCAGGAGGGACTTGGCCAGGGACTGATGCCTTTTTAGTAACTTTTGACTTTTAAGTAAACAACAGCACAACAGCAGCTGCTGTTAGAACCTGTAGCTCAGAAGCCTATCTCCTTAGGGCCTTATGAGCTGCAGGATCCGATTCACCCACTCACACTGGGCACTGCAGGATTCTGGGTAAGCATAGTCTTTCCTACATTCACAGCCTCCACTGCAGTGTCTTCTGGGAACTCCAGGGCACCAGCACCTCTCACGCATCGGGCATCAAAGCATTCTGGGCATTATTGTTCTGCATCATCTGGACATCTGCAGGGTTCCAAGAAATGCTCACCCTGTTTGTCAGACCACATCTCGCTCTTGCATTTAATCCAGGGCTCACAAGCACATTGCTGAAGTTCTCCATTATTCTTGAGCCTCCTGGCAGAGCACCCTCTCCACCGACGCACTGAGACACACCGCCCTCAGGTACCACCCAGCAGCATCCTGGGTTTTGATTTTGAAAATTTTTTGGTTATTTTTATTTAATCCAAGGACTTTGCTTTATACAAAAAGTCATTGTAGAAACAAGAGCAGAATCCAAAGTTTGGTTTGTAAATACTATCCAGGCAGCAAACTAGTCAAGGGGTTCTTTTAAAGTAGATCCCATTTGTGTTGCGTGATTGGACCTCTCTCTCTCTCTCTCTCTCTCTCTCTCTCTCTCTCTCTCTCTCAACACTGTTAAATATAAAGTTTTGCAACAAACCTTCAATTTATATCAAATATAATTAAAAATTAACAAATGAATACATTGTATCAAAAGTACGAAGCTATACATTTCATGCGCATACTTGTATAATGTATATATGGATATATTTTACATGCACACATAACTTGTTCAAACTACAGCCACTGCTTGACAGGTTCCAGATGCAGACAGCTGGTTGTTGTTGCATTTCAAATTTGGCAACTCACTATGGAATTTCAAGGGGGAACAGACAACAGCTTGAGAAGAGACAGTACAGAAACAAACCCAAAGTCAGGAAACAAGACACCATGCCTCCTTTCCCTGCTTCTTGTAATTTTTCATGTATACCAATGCCTGGAAGAAAAGCCAGCTACGCTAATGTGGGGTAAAGATGATTCCCAACCCAGGGCTGTCTGGAGCAGCTGTGGTTCCATACAGAATGTATACACTCAACACTCAAGAGAACAAGGGCTGGGCTTGGAACAGAGACAGAACGTCAGTATCAAAATGCACATCCTTCTACTTTGCAACATAGGTGCAGTCACATGCACAGCCCAAGGCTCCTGGTTAATTTTACCCTACTGGAATAAAATACTCTGTTATCGTTAAAGTTTCAGGGTATTGTGCCTTCGTATAAGGAAATTCTATAAAAGGTTTGGTCACAATCATGCTGAAACCCTAGACCAAGTGGTGGTCTTGTTTTGTTTCTAGTAATGTGTCTTTTGTTGCATAGCCCTATGGTTAACAATAGCCACTCGCTGAACACACCCACCCACCCATACACACACAAACACGCACACACATCTGCATCTCCTGTGAGCACACACACACACACACACACACACACAATCACACATTAGTTTCTGTGCGAAACATGGGATAGAAGTCAACAATCCCACCAAGAAGTCATCGGAAATTTCAAAACACAGCGAACACACCAAGGAGTGCCTGCCTGCCTATGTGCACCCTTGCTCTAGTGGCCTCCCGCTGTGCACATCCTGCCTTCCTGGGTATGGGTTTTCCCTTCGCAAAGTAGCGGTGAGGTGAGGCTTTATTTGACTGCTGCTCCCCCCCCCCCAGATCTGGGGCCAGGGACCCTACGAAGCTTTAGCTATCCAGTCTCACCCCATGAGCCATTTCCTCCCTGCCTGTGTCTTGTTACGCTGCCAGCACGGGCTTCTTCCTCCTGCTCTACTCTCCCTCGTCTTTATTAGTGCTTAACACTCTGCAGCATTCCGTGAAAACTAGTTTGTTTGTTCATTTCTTTGTTTTTGTTTTTGTTTTAACACAACAGAGATCATACCCTGCTTGGCAGGCATCCCATCCCTGAGAATCAGATTTAAAAACAGATTGAAAATGCCTCATGCAAGCACGCGCTCTGCTACTCTGTGGCTTCTTGGGAACCCATCACTCAGGGGAGGTGCACGGGGCACCACAGCCGCTTCTCTGACTGGACACTGTCAGTGTTCCCCACGACACAAGCTGCTCTGAGCAGTTCCCACCCAATCCTCTCGCTAGTTCCTGAGGCCTCACCTCAGACGTGACGCTCAGAGTCGGAGATCAGGCACTTGGTTGAACAGAGGAGCCAGGGGCATTGGGGACTTCCTGGGCAGGGTAGAATCCATATACAGGAACATCGCATACAAGTCACAGAAACAATGCAAAACGGGACCTTCCTACATGTTGATTTTTTTTTTAAGTTACATGAACATTCTTTCCCTGTTTTGCTTTTGTTTGTTTGTTTTTTTTTTTTTTCTTCTAGATCAACTCTATAGAAATGACAAACAGCTTAAGGTATTGTGGCTGAAAGCCAGGACCAACAGCATGAGCATTCTCCAGATTCGGTCCCTAGGTGGAGACAGTACTGAAGGCAGGGCCTTGAGAGCATCTCTATGCACGTGTGCTGTTTGACTTCAAGACAGACAACAGACGTGAGATTACCGCGGCCGGCAGGTGCTGCCAGGCCACAGCTGGGCTCCTTCCCTTGCTTTCAGGTGCACCCTCTCCCCGACACCAACACATTCGGACAAACGATACTCGCCATGAGACTCAGACCTCCTAACAAAGTCCCAAATACCCACCCTGGGTGCTGGAGGCCATGCCATAGGATTTGGATTTGCTGGGTTCATCTCGACTCAGCTACCTCCTGCTTAGGATCCAACATCTGGCATGGAACCCAGGAAGGCAGTACACAGGAGGATAGAGAGAACCACACCCCTCTAAGAAAGGGCTTTATTAGTCCATCCAATGTAAAAGGGAGGGAGGGAGAGAAGCAGGGGCCTCCACCACAGAAGCCACGGCGTGAGGCCCCTCCTCCCAGGGCTGTGACCCCACAGCCCAGAGCGGATGATAAAACTCATCAACTGGAACCCGCACCCATGGAGCTGGTGCGTGGGTGGTCGCGGTGCAGCTAGCACCAGTGGTCCTGGTCTGGGTGGTGGTAGCTGTGCCGCGCCCGGACGCCAGTGCTGAGTCCCAAAGTGCAGTGGTAGCCATTGGGCACACGGCGGAGAGGGTGGGATTGGGAGGTGAGGGAGGACACGTAGGAAGTCCTGGAGGAGCGGCCAGAGTTGGTGGCCACTGCCTCTTCAAAGGTGAGTGTATCCTCAGGCAGAGTGTGGGCAGAGGCCTCACTGTCCAGACGCTGCCCTAGGTAAGGGTCAGAGCCAATGCGAGATCCAGGGGCCAGAGGCTGGCTCAGGGGCTCTTTCTGGAGCAGGGCATTGTGTTCTGAAAGGCCGCGGCTGAGACGGCCAGGGGAGAAGGCTGGAAGGCCGCTCTGACCCCCAGCAAAGTGGACAGGCGAGGAATTGGCGGTCTTGTAGGTGATGCTGGGGCGTGGGGTCAGGGGAGTCTGGGGGAGCTGCCTCCGTCCACCTCGGCCCGGGGTGCTAGCACCAGATGTTGACATCAAGGGGCTCCCATTAACAGAACCACTGCCCTACATGAAAAAGGCAACAGCAAAAAAATAAAAAATAAAAACCACATTAAACAACACAGCACACAGAAAACATGGGCACCATCATGAAGGGATGCGGGGAGGACGTAAGGCAAGCAAGGGAAGCAGGAAGGACAGACACCTTGAGCAAGGGCTAGAAACCTGGAGTCAGAGAGGAAAATGGAGAAGAAAGCACTGAGGAGGATCTGGGACACCATGGCTAGGAAGGCAGGCTCGAGCTGGGGTGCAGGACACGGAAGGTGCTCAGTCTGGGGGACGCGAAGTTGGAGTGTATGAGCCATGCTTCCCAGTGTGGTTACCTGTGGGTGGGGTCCTGGCTCTAGCGCCGCTGTTGGAGATGTGGGGTGACTACTAAGAGAGGGCTTGTGTTGCGGGGGCTCCCGACTCCCAAAGCGGTCACAGGAATAGAAGCGCTGCTTCTCTGAAGAAGAGGACGAAGGCTGCCTCCGCTCCTGGGACCTTCCCCGCTCCTGCTTGCGCTCCCTTCGGCAGCCTGTGGATCCTTCTCCTTGGGGCAGGCCAGATCCTGCAGCACTGCTTGGTGCTGGCCAAGAAGGAGAGAGGTTAGCTAAGCTGAACAGGAGCAGGGCAGAGACCTCTGGCTCTAGACCTACGTGCTCTTCTGGGACAGACTGAGACTCAGTGCCTGACCTGGTCCCCAGATTGACTCATGCACCTTTCTGTTGCGGGCTAACTCTGGAACCACATGTCACACCAAGGAAGATGGTCCTGTGGACTGCTAGACCCTTCCCGGACCCTGTGCACGTACCCCCTTCTGTGTCAACAGACAGGCTGGGCCCCTTTTCCAGGGACCTCTGCTTCTTTTCCCTGCGCCGGTGGCAGCGGTGATGATGGTGATGTGAGGCCTGGCTAGGCGGAGGCCGGTCCAGGACGGTGTTGCAGAGGTGAGTCCCGTGGGGGCGTGGAGCCAGGGTGGAGATAGAGCGCTTCATGGGGCTGGCATCAGGGGCAGGCTGCAGACAAAGGACAAGGGATGAGGAGGCGCATGGCCTGAGTCAGCAGGCGGCTGAGAGACCAGGAGTTAGACAGATTTCCTGGTAGGCAAACAGGGAGAGGGGCCAGGGCTAAGTAATAAAGGTGGTGGATTTCCAAAAGGGCCAGCTTCTCCCTCAGGCTCCCCACCTGAGACAAAAGCCTGGCATCTTAAAATAACCACCCTGTGAGCTTTGTCTCTCTGGCCAGCAGGCCCCTGCTGGCGGACTGGCTCAGCAGGCTGGATTGGATGTGTTACACAACCAACTGTTGTAGGTCAATCCACCATCTTCAAACTGACTACATAAGAGGAGGAAAACTCTTCAGAGACTTAAACTTCAGTGTCAGAAGGAGAATGGATTTTTCAGTTTCCCCGAGTTGCCCTTCTGCTTTGTTCAGGGTCTGTTTCCCTGCAAAGCAGGCACGCATGTATGCTTCATGTACACATATCTGCTGCATGTACACATGTCTGCTGCATGCACGCATGTCTGTTGCATGCACACATGTCTGCTGCATGCACACGTCTCCTCGTCACCATAAATGCTTTCCTTCAACTGCTGATTCAGCCTGTGCTGTGATGCTGGAGGTTTCTCCACCGCTACCTGATGGGCTCCAGGTCTTTTCCTACCTTTTGATTCTCTAACTGGTGGAGGAAATGAACTGATTAAGACCCAGTCAAGTCAGAGGGAGCCACATCTGGGACAGATGTCTGGAGATGGGGCACTGCTCCAGACAGGCAGACTGGAAACAGGGCTGCTTTGTGTGGGTCCCGCCAAGAGAAGAGCTGGTTTGACTGAAGAGCCCCAGTGAGATTCCTATCTGGCTATAGGGGACGACTTCTTTCGGTCCCTCTGGAGGACCGATTCATATGTTGTCCCCGTCCCCGCCCCCCAACCATGACAAATAAATTCAGGACCTATGGAGAGAAACTGCTATGGAGCTTAGCCACAGCCACCCAAATGTTGAATGCCAGCAGAAAGCACCTCAGCAGGTGACACCATGGGGTTGGGCCAAGGACAGAAGAACAAACAGCTAGAAGGAGAAGGAAGACAGGGAACGAGAGGCTGTTGGCTAGGGCCATGTAGAGACACTGTAAATGGAAGATATGGCAGAGGGAGGAGACAGTATCTAGGGACCATAGGAAGAAGGAGCAGAGCCAGGAGAACCACACAGGTTTGGGCAGGCCCTGAAGACTCAGATCAATCTGCATCCCTTCTTGGCTTCAAAAGTGGAAATGCCACAGGCTCGCAGCTGTGACCTTGAGAAAGGCCGATTCCAAAGTCAGGCATCCAGCTCCTAGTAAAATGGTCTAATGAGGAAAACCCCACAAGAGGTCAGAGAAGAATAACGGTCCAGGGACAGGGCAGGAAGGGCCAAACCAGAGCCTCAGGACAACAGAAGGGCAGACTGAGGCAGGAGGCGTTACTTTTTGGACTGTAGAATCTGCTCTGGTGCTGGTGTAAAACACTAGCGGAGGAGAAGGTGGAACACAGCTGGAGAAGAGGGAGCACAGCTGGAGGAGAGGGATCACAGATGGAGAAGAGGGAGCACAGCTGGAGATGGAGCACAGCTGGAAAAGAGGGATCACAGATGGAGAAGAGGGAGCACAGCTGGAGAAGAGGGAGCACAGTGGAGACAGCAGAGCTGCGGCTATGAGAGCCAGAGGAAGAACGCCGAGGAGAGAGTAGGGTCTTGTGGACAAGGACTAGGTAGGACCAGAACTGGGAAAAAGACACCAAAGCTGTAGATCCAGAACTCTTAATGCCTCTTTCTCTGACCATAAGACTGTCCTGGTGAGGCCGGTACGATGTCTCAGAGGGAAGGAGGTGTCCAAAGTTGCAGAGGCAGGTGACTTCAGGCTGCTGCCTGCTTCTCTCTGCCCCCAGTTCCCTCTCACCAAGCCCCCTCCCCCAGCAACACCTCACCCTCCCACAGCCCAGACCCTTCCAAGACAACACACCTGTGTTTCTGCCGCCAGGCGTGGCATAGAGGCAGCCCGGCCTTGGCTCTCCAGCCCAGGCTGAGGCTCCCCATCAGGTCCTCGCAAGGTCATGTTCTGCATCTGGACGTCCACAGCCTGGAGGACAGCAAGCCCCTCGGTTACACATCACAGAGCCATCTGGCCCCACTCCTCCCCATCTCACCTGCTCTGACCCCTGACCCATATCTGCCACCTCCCATAGCACTTGAGTCCGTGTTCAATTCACTCCCCCACGCCCACCTCACAATCCTCACCCCCATTCACACACTCGCATCTAACACAACCCTTCCGGGGAGGGCTCACCAGTTTTCCTGGATGCCCCACAGGGATCTCTGCAGAATGGCCACGTTCTAGAGGTGCTCTGGCTTCATAGAGAGTGTCCTGGGTCCTCTGTGTGCCCCAGGACAGGGACTCCTTGATGCCGCTTTCCTGGGTTTGTCTGGAGAGAGAAACGTTAGAGATCCGTGGGCTGCGGAGTGCTGTTAGTGCTGGGAATCTCCACCGCAGCCACGGCAATCCCGTACAGGGGCTCCAGCATGGCACCAAGCCGAGATACAGCACCAAGCATGGGGTTAGGACGGTTCCTGAGGGCAGAGGACTTATTCTGAGGAAAGCCAGATGCATCATTACCTAGTCTGGAGACAATCAGCAAGTTCTTCAACCCTGGTACCAGCTCTTCCATGATACAGGCATTTGCCACAGACTATGGTGGGAAGGACAAGGCCACACAGTGACTTGACCTAGTGGTGAAGCCTGGGTAAATAGCCTGCAGCTAAAGGAACTCCAGAATCCTTCCAGGGCTGCTTTTCCCAGAAGTCCCTTGCTGGTGGCTCTTCCTTACACCCACCTCTACACCATGAAGGACCCATTTAGTGTCCAATCAGCCTCTTAGTAATCAGATTATATACTGCCCTCAGCACCCACTTCTCACTACGCCTGCTCCTCAGGGAGCCTAGAGTGTTCAGATTCAGGGTGAGACTCCCACACAGCACCGATTCTTCCCACACAGCCTTTCTGCAATGACCTCATTTGCATCATACAGGTTGAGTGACACTGGAGCAGGTCAACTTAGCACGCTCGGCCCAGGGCCAGACTCAGTACACACTGTACCGAGACAGCCGCCCAGATCTGTTCTTGCTGGGCATTTTAAACATGAGTCACCCATTGTCTTCTGAGAACACTGTATGTAGGCCATCTCACCTCAGTGACTCTTGAAACAACCCCAGGAAAGGACTCTAGCTGACAGGGGGCCAAGCTAAACACTAGAGCACTGTCAGCTCTGAGGTCACAGAACAGCCCAGACCCTCCATTGCTGGGACATTAAATACAGTGTTCTCCAACTGTGAAGGTTTGAATGAACATGGTACCCACAGACTCATAGGGAGTGGCATTATTGGAGGTGTGGCCTTGTTGAAGAAAATGTGTCACAGGGGCTGGGCTTTGAGGTTTCAGGAGCTCAAGCCAGGCCCAGTGTCCCTCTCTCTCTTCCTGCCGATTCAGATGTAGAACTCTCAGCTGCCTCTCCGGCACCACGTCTGCCTGCATGCTGCCATGCTAACAACCATGACCATAATGGACTAAACCGCCTGTAAGCCAGCCCCAATGAAATGTTCTCCTTTGTAAGAGTTGCCATGGTCATGGTGTCTCTTCACAGCAACAGAAACCTTAACTAAGAAATTGACCTTCAACTGCATTACGCAGAGGTTATGGTCATCAAAGTACCTGAAGCTTATTTTCCTCCTGGAAGCCTGGGTCAAATCCAATTAAAGACTCCTAACATTTTATAGGATACGGTCACATGCACACTCACATACTCTCACATACACACCTGTAAGTGCTGTATGCCCAAGCACACATTCCCCATCACACACTCTAACACACACGCTCCTAAAATGTTTAATCTTAAGTGCAGAAGAGCGACCCTAACCAACTTGTGTGAGGGAAAGCACATAAGCGAGGGTGTCTGCAGGGCTCTGCGTGGCTGGTCCCAGGATGGACTTTCTCAGTGGGAAGCCCAGCTAACAGCACTTGCCATCAAGGCTCCCTCTGCATTGTCTACTGCCCACGCCATGAACTTGGGCCTGACTGTGCAATGTGTAGGGCTATGGCCTGTGAGTCAGAAGGAGAGGGCCACATGAGATCGGCACCTGGTCTCTTGACATTTTCAGGGCCAACATGAGATGGTGCATCCCTGGAAGCCAGCTATCAAGGGAAGTTAAAAGAACATGGCTTTCCGTGTGCAACTAGCCCTGCCCAGAGATCCTCCACAGCCTTTGGTGAGTGACCCTTGATTTCTGACTCTGGATTTGATATCAAGAAAAACCATCTCAGAGTAAAGTGAAACAAAGGATTGACCAATTTGTCTAGGTAACAGCCTTAGAAATCAAAGCCAAAATGACAAACTGAGAAAAGGCTCAGAGGAGCCAGGAAGATCAGAGTTATAATTTTCTATGAATAGGTATTTGAGAACTCAAGGCAGAATCAATTTCTTAATAGTCCACAGGCATTAGAAGCCTGCGACAGCAGAATCTGGAAGACAGGGACAGGCAGTGGCTGTCATAGGAGTAGCACAGCTATCTGCCCACGCTCCATGCCATCTACCTAACACTAGGCAGCTAACACAGAAATCCCCTGTAGGAACAGGCAGATAGAAATCTTTACCAGCTTCCAAAAGCCTGTGTGTGCCCTGGGTGGAGGCAGATATGGAGCTGCTCCAGAGCTTGTCCCAAGAAGTGGGAGGACCGCCTGTCTTCAGAGGACTATGCAGGTTGTGGGTGAGCCCCTTAGGTATTTCAGGGGGTGAGTTAGAGGCCAGAGAGCCTCTAGGGTGAAGTCACAGATCTCCTTCCCCCACTGGCCATGAGCTCCCCTGCCCACCCCCACCAGTCATGAGCTCCCCCTGCCTACCCCCACCAGTCGTGAGCTCCCCCTGCCCACTCCCCCCAGCACTCACATGGCCCCACCGTTGCTAAGGGAAGTGGCACTCTTCTGTCGAAGGAAAACCCGAGCTCCCCGAAGCACAGCTGGTTGGGTCTGCTCCAGGGTGGCCTTCAGAGGGTGGAACAAGGACACAGGACCCATCTACAAAGGAGAACAGGGAAAAGGAGAGCCCGGTGTCTGAGGACCTCAGCCTGGAACATGTAGCAGAGTCCAGTCTCTGCACAGGACAGCGTGGGCTCCTTGGTCTTCAGCATAGAACCTTTGCTTCCCTGGATTTTGTCTCGCTTCCCAAGAGGAACATGCAGAGCCTCAGTTTCTCTGTCTACACAACGGGGGGCTGGCCATATCACAGAATCATGCATCTCATCCTCAATTTCCAGGGCCTGCCACCCGGAATGCCAGTCTGAGGAGACTGCGGGAATGAAGCCAGGCACTTCCTACCCAGGGCCAGGGAAACGTCACCGAACGCTCTGTGTGTTTACAAGATTTTCCAAGCTGAACAGGTAGTCACTGAAGACACAGCTGTAACAGCACCAGAAAGTTGTACCCTAAACCTCCCACACAACCGTGAGTAAAGCCAACAGCAACTGTGGGCCAGCAGTGGATGTCTTCGGTCTGTACCTGCGTGTAGTCCCACAGTTTCTCTTCCCATCCTCTGTCTACCACAGAGAAGGTGACAGTGCCCAGAGCGTCTGCTCTCGCCCTTGAAAGCCAGCTTACAGCGTCAAGGCTCCACAACACGAGCAAGCAAGTAGCTAACGGAGAGCAGGCAGCCTGAGAGGGGCTCCCTCCTGCTGCCACGGAACTCTGTCCAGTCATAGGTCCCCCACAACTGTACCTGGGACAGGCCTCCGGGAGCTTGGTGAATCTGATCTCGGGTGGTTTTGTTCTGTTTGTAGAAGTCAAATATCATCAGAGCTGCATAGACTTTCCCCACTGTCATCTCATCAGCTGAACAGAGCAGGCAGAGAAGAACCAGAGGCCGAGGTTGGGAGGACAGACGGCACAAAGAAACCACAGGAGATGTAGCTGGATAAGGAGGCAGCGTCTTTCCCTCATCCCCTATGTGGGCTCCAGGAAACGCGCCGGGCTGAGGGGCTCAGGTGGGTGCTCAGCCACAGGAGCCAGGAACGAGAGCCCTGTCTCCTCTGGATACAGAATACATCCCACTCTGACCACACTAACTAGTCCTGTGTCCTTTATGTGGGACTGACTGATGCATCCCTACAAGGGGTCCTCAACATGGAGCACCTCTTCTTTGTGTTCATACAATTCCCTCTTGCTTTTTTTTTTTTTTTTTTTTTGGTGTTGTGAGATACAGTCTCAAAATAGGAGGACCCTGAATCACCTCTCATGGCTCCTGTGCAACCCAGCATAGCTACAGAGGGATGAGGGGAGCCCACTTCTCCAATGCAACACACTCTGTCTTACTCCTATACACCTTGAGGGACCAGGGGCGGTGGGGGCAGAGGTACCATTTAATCTCCACTTACGTTTGTGGGGTGGTACGAGTAGGTCCAGCGTCTTCTGGGGTAGATTGGCCCACACAGAAGAGATCTCCTTTCTCAGCTCAGCATCACACTGGTGCTGCTTTGTCCCTGCTGGGCCAGGACGAGGGGGAAAGGGAAGACGCGTCAGGAGTTCTGCCACCCCTCATTCAGGCAGAGCTGGAGACAGTGCGTGTGGAGGCGTGGGCAGAGGAACGATGGGGGAGGCGGTGCTAAAGGGAGGATACAGGAAGACACACTGACCTGCACACTAGTTACAGGCCTTCCTGCAGAGTCCTGGAGATAGCAAAACTGTGTGTGCGTGGGTGGGTGGGTGTGCGTGTGCGTGTGTGTGTGTGCGTGTGTGTGTGCGCATGTGTAGGAGAGAATCTAGGGTCTTGCATATGCTCTGTAATAGAGCTATAACCACAGCACCTTAAGTATCTTTTGAAGAGTAAAGTTTTAATTTTTATGAAGTTTAATTTATCAGTTTTTTCCTGTATGGTTCATTATTCATTTTATTTATTTATTGTATGATTATAGGGGTTACCCATGGAGGCCAGAAAGTGACATAAGATCCTATCCGTGAGCCTCCTGATGTGGTTCTAGGATCCAAACTCTGATACCCTAGAGAGGAGGACACCCACATAACCATCTCTGACTTCTTTTCTTCTCCCCTCTCCCCCCCCTTTTTTTTTTGTCGAGGTAGGGTTTGTTTCTCTGTGTCTCTCTGGCCATCCTAGAACTCACTCTGTAAACCAGGCTGGCCCCTGCCTCCCTGCATGCTGTGATTAAAGGCGTGCACCTTCACCCCTGGCTCCATCCCTGATCTCTGAAGAAAACAAGTCTCCACTTGTGTGAGTTGCCGACACAGCTCTCTCTTCTACAAGTTTTGCCATTTTAGCTTTACCTCTACGGCCCACTTCAAGTTCTATAGGAGGGTCAAATGTGCTGTGCATCGGAAGGCATTGTTCCCACACAGAAGTCGCAGGAACCAGTGATGGAGAAGCCTAAGCGATGGCTGCATTAAATGAGTTCAAGGTTAAAAGTGCCCTTATGAGAAGACATCAGAAATCCTGGCCACCCTTCACCTTGGACCCTCAAAAGAAAGGCCTTAGCAAGAGAACACTTTAGAATAAAACCCACTCTGTTGTTTCCCGAACTCCAAGAAATGTATTTCCTGGGCAAGCTACCCAGCCTGTGGTATTTTGCCAGTACTCTGTGATGTTTAATCTTGACAGAATTTAGAATCATGTTGTGAACAAACTCTGGGCACGTGTGTGACGGTGTGCTCCAGGAGGTTTGACTGGAGGGAAGACACGTTTCAAAGGTGGGCCACACTGGACTTTGGGCTGCACAAGCAGGAGAGATGAACACCTTCTCTATGCTTCCAGATCAAGGATGCAATCTGACCAGCTGCCTCGACCCCTCCTCGCCATGACGGCCTAGATCCCCTGGACTAGTCAACTGAAACAAACCCTTCCCTTTGAGGAGGCTTTTCACCTGCTGGTCATCACAGCAACAAGAAAATTAACACACACACTGTTATTAGGAGTAGCAACTCTTTTCTTCTTCTTCTTCTTCTTCTTCTTCTTCTTCTTCTTCTTCTTCTTCTTCTTCTTCTTTTTTTTTTTTTTTTTTTTGTTTTTTTTTTTTTTGAGACAGGGTTTCTCTGTGTAGCCCTGGCTGTCCTGGAACTGCTCTGTAGACCAGACTGGCCTCAGACTCAGAGATCCACCTGCCTCTGCCTCCCGAGTGCTGGGATTAAGGGCGTGCGCCACCATCACCCAGCTCTTCTTTGATTCTCCTTATGAACGTTTGAAACTCATTCAATAATAAGGTGTGCAGGGGAACTTTTAGAGTCATCAACAGTGCAGAAGCGCTTCATAGCTGTGGCGTCATTTCAAGGAACTCTACTGTCAGTTAGCACTACACAGAAACCTGAATGCTTTCGTAGGCTAGCCTTGTGTACCTGTCAGTTTCAGTAACTTCAGAAACAGAGTGGAAATAACACTAACTCTGAACACAGGCACTTTCACTTCTTGCTCTCTGTTATGATATTGTTATTATTTAAAACCATTTTTAAGGCTAAATATATCTTGATCATATTCTCCCCTCCCCATCTTTTCTGACTCTTGCTTCTTTCTCTTATCTTATTACAATGGCTATAGCCTCAAGTACATCCTTGACAATGAGCCCTGACGGCCGACCATCATCTTAGTCCTGACTTTAAGAGAGTTTCTATGTTAAATATTGCACTAGCTGTAATTTTTCATAGATATCCTCTATCATACATTTATTGGACATTTCATTTAATTCAAAGTCTACACAGAAATGTTCTTAGCATGACTGAATGTTGGATTTTGTCAGATGCTTCTTTTCCTGTGTGACTGTGGAGATATCATGTAGCTTCTGATATCGTTTGCTAGAGTAAATTACACTGGCTGGGCTTTAGAACATAACCCAGCCAAGGATAACCTTGACAATGTCATCTACATGTACTGTCTTCTTTTATGGACTCATAGATTTGCTTGGTAAAACTGCACTGAAGAGTTTTATGTCTAGGTTCAGCTAACTAAAATTATATTGAAGAACTTTATACCCACATTCATGTTGTTTTATTTCCTGCCATACCTGTTTCCTGTGTCAGAACATAGTACATTTAAGACAGGTCGAGAAATATCCCCTCTTCTATTTCCTGTAAGAGTCTAAGACAGTCTGTATTCACTGGGATGTTTGACAGACTTCATCAAGGAAGTCATCGAGGCCTGGAGTTTCCTGCTGGAAGGTGGTTTGCTAAGAAATATAGTATCACTAATGTTATCTCATATTTCATGCATATGTGTGGGTGCATGAGGCTGTGAGGGGCATATGCACCCGTATGTGCACCTGTGTGCTTGTGTGAGGCACCTCTGTGCATGTGTGGAAGCCAGGGGATGACCTTGGCCATCTTCACAAAGCCATCTGCCTGTTTTCTTTCTTTTCTTTTCTTTCCCCTTCCTTCCTTCCTTCCTTCCTTCCTTCCTTCCTTCCTTCCTTCCTACCTACCTCCCTCCCTCCCTCCCTCCCTCCCTCCCTCCCTTCCTTCCTTCCTTTTTTCTTAACAGCATTTCTCGAAATAACAGCCTTGGCTGTCCTGGAACTCACTCTGTAGACCATGATAGCCTTGAACTCAGAGAGATCCGCCTGCCTCTGCCTCCTGAATGCTGGGATTAAAGGCTCGCACTACCACCACCCCGGCCCACTCTTTACTTCTGTTATCTGCATCTTTCTTCTTGATTGGTCTAGCTAGAGGTTTGCCTACATTCTTGTTATGATTTTAACCTGGAAACTCTGGCAGACTGAAGGCAAGAGCACTGCACAGAGTGGGCCAAGGCAGAGAGGTGACTATATGCTGGGTGGTTTTGAAGTCAGCACGGAGATGTAAATTAGAAAAACGACAGAATAAGGGTAACTCCAAGGTTCTAACAGGGAACAAAGAACAGAGTTCTCCAGGATGGAGACAGGGAAGAATGCGGAAGAACCTGGAACCAAGGTCTAGCTAGACAAGTCAGTGGGAAAGTTCCTGCAGAGCCTCTGAGTGAAGATGGAGTAACTTATGCTACCCTTATCTGGACTGAAAATACAAGATTAGGATGCAATATATGCACAAGGATTGGGCAAGGTGGCAACAGCAAGAAAGGGCTCTGAGGCACCCACAGTTCAAAGGTGTTGGACCAGAGAAGCCAAAGACAGATCCAAAAAACGACATTGGACTGAACTCCGAGGAAGGCTGCTGCTCAAATGAAAACTGGAGAAGAGAAATCAGCAGACTAGGCCATCAAGTAGCCGGTTCCTATGAGGAAAGAAAAAAGGAACATGGGGGCTGGAGAGATGGCACAGAGGTTAAAAGCACTGGTTGTTCTTCTAGAGGACCTGAGTTCAATTCCCAGCAACCACATGGTGGCTCGCAACCATCTGTAATGAGCTCTGGTGCCCTCTTCTGGCCTGCAGGCACACATGCAAGCAGAGCAGTGTATACATAGTGAATAAATAAATCTAAAAGAAATAAAAGAGGAACATCAACAGAGGGTAAGGGAGAAACCTTTTTAAAGAAAGCAGTGATAAGTGTGTGCTCACATATTGACACAGGTAGCAGAGGATGAAACCATGGGTAACATCCTTAGGGAGATGCTGAGAGAAGATGGGACCTGGAGTACAAAGGAGGCTGGGCTTCCACTCCTCACAACAGAAGAGGCTAAGCTGTGGGAGAGTGATGGGGTGGAGGGTCCCTCTAGTAGAGGGGAAGGGAAAGATGGTACAGGCTCCCTATTACACGATGGGGGCAGGCTATCACTGCTGGACAGAACGATCTAGAACAAGGGATTGCAGTTCACTATGCTGGTTCTTCCCTAATTACGAGGTCATTGTAGTGCTAAGGAAATCTTCAAGGTAGACAGTGCCTAGCAGAGCAGGTAAATCTATCCAGTTGTGCCCAGACAGAACCCGTTCCTTTATCCTCCTTACGTGAAGTACATCACTTTAGTGTGGGTATTGTTCTGTTTTGAAAAAGGAAGTCACAGTGCCCAAGGATGGGCTGGCCAGTGCCCTCCCTTCCCCAGGGCCCCCCACTCACCTGGGGCAAGCTTGATCTCCAGCGCTGTCCGGATGAGGGCCATCAGCGTGGAGGTGAAGTGCACCGTCATGTCCTCATTGGATATGGGCATGTTCATGCGAACCAGGCGCTGGGGATGAGTAGGGGCAGATCAGGGCCAAGCATGGCAGGCTCAATCCCACCCTACAGTTAATGTCTGGGCTCTGTAGCTTGGCTTGGCTTCCTGAGAGGGGTCCCGGCAGGTGCCTGGTCCAAGAAGGCTGGGTTGGTGGAAGTTTTGCCAGCATTCTCTCCTCCCGGACCCCACTCTCATCTGAGCTGAGATTCTCCTGGCTAGAGAAGAGCAGAGATCCAAGTAAAAGCTAAAGCAGAGGCTGGGCCAGGACCCTGGCTCCTGCCCACTGCCTGTGAATACCAAAAGGGTGGGGGATCCAAGACAGAGCGCTACTCCCTGGGACAGCCTAAAGAACAGATGGGACCCTGTCCTATGACTTTGCTTACCTGTCCTCTTCTATCTGCAACTGGATCATCTAGGAGTGGCAGCCAAAAGGCCTTCTGAGGTCCAGTCCCGGTGGGGCACGCCTCAAGAGAGAAACTCACTTAACTCAAGTCTTAACCACACTAATGGGCCGGAAAGAAACACTTGAAGAGACACACTATCATAGGTCTTAACAGACCTTCCAGGGGCCAGAGCGGAGGGGTGCATACGGTCTCAGGCTTATTCTGCTCCCATCTGAGTGGCTAACTCCCTTTCCTTTCTCAGGTTTCAGAGACAAAACACCTTAACACAGGGTGTCTGAATCAGTCCTCTGGGGCAACTCGGCAGCTGCAAGAGTCTCTGGCTTTGAGAACATTTGGGCCCTTGAGGAAGACTCAGGGGCATCTGAGGAGCACTCCCTTGGCCAAGAAGCACCCCAGGACTACTGTACCCCACTGTGTCCTCTATACAGGAAGAAAACCAGAGACAGGAGCTCCTCCCTGGGGCAAGCACTCTTCTTTGGGGGGCAGCCCCTAGTACCTTGTCGCCAAGTTCTATATCTTTGTTGTAAACACAGGGGGCACAGGAGCACAGAAAACAGGAGGTAGGCTCTTGTCCTACGAATGCTGGCAAAGCCCCACTGGGCACATCCAATTACAGGACCAGGACCTCACATGTCATGTATATTACACACCAGGAAAAACTGCTTCCCAGAGCATGGCATCCCTGCAGACCAGCACCGATGGCAGTGTGAGAGGCCAGGGAGTTCCTCTTCCAGGGAGGGGGGTTAGGATGGGAATGAGAGAAGAGCAAGCAGACTATTTCTGAGAGGGGGAGATCTGTCCAGGACACCAAGGGTTACCCTGATAAGGCTCCCACTTCCCACTGGTTTGCCCCTAGTCATGGAGGGCAGAGAAAGAACCTCAGAGAAGCAGAGTGGCAAGACCAGGGCAAATAAGGTCCAGAAATGGTACTCCAAGCCTCTCTTGGGCCCTCCCATCTTGCCCCAAGCCACCTGCAACCTACCCAGAGGCCTCCCTTGGTCTGGTCATACCCTGCACCTCGGGATCCGTAGGCACGGCTAGAAAGGGCAGCACAAGCCTTCGTGCCTGCCTTTCTGCCTGACCGGGTGTCATAGGAACAGAGCTCTCCCTCCTGTGGATAGAGACATGCATGCATGCATGCAGGGCCTCTGCGCTTTCAACACACATGCTAGTTGGGGGCAGATAAAGGCAGGAAGAACCCAGAGGCATCTGAGTGGTGGGAGAGCTGGTTGGTCCCCACAGACTACACTGAATGACGTGGCAGACATAAACCCAGGATGGGGTACAGAGACAGAATACGGACAGAGGACGGTGAACCAAAGAGGGAGGCTCTGGCAGAAAGCTCTCTCAGACAGAGGCAAACACAGGGTGCGCTGTTTACTGGGGAGCAGTAGGAACTGGGGGTGCTGAAGGTAGCACTGCAGGCGGAAGAAGCTTGTGACTGGGCCAGGAAGGAGGCCTGGAGGTGTCCTTGCTCACTTCCTTCCTCGTGACTCCTGAACTTCCCAAGCTGGGACCCTCACCCCAGGGTGTCTGAACACCCATTCCTTTCCAATATCAAGGCACCCCTTCCCACTAGGAAGCTTAGGAAGCCCTTGGAGACTGCAGCTGGGCAGACATCCCTACAAGGCTGAGCTTAGCAGGGGTAGAAGGGCAGGGAAAGAGGTGAGCGGCAGAGGCTCCACCGCCCTGTGTATCCCCCAAGGCCTGACCCTGCAGACTTGATGACCGCCCATGATGGGAGCACAGGGGACAGGGCAGCCGGGTAGTCCCAAGCCCAGAATAAAGCACCCTCTGTCCAAAAAGCATTGGTTTGTCTTCTCATTCTTGGGAAGGCAAAGGAAGGGAAGGAAAAAGGGTGGGGCAGGGTGGAGTTGACTCTGGCTCTGTCGCCCTGAGCTTCTCAAGGATGTCAGTAATGGGGAAGCCGGGTGGGATGTCGGGGTTAGTGCAGAGACATGTCCCGCTATCTGGGATGGGAGCAATGGGGTTCAGGGTGGTATGGGAGCAGCGGTAAGGCAGCCAGGTACAGCCACACAGCCAGACAAACCCTGAAAAAGCAGGGGGAGCCCATGAGTGCTCTGCGGGCTGAGCAAGGCCCAGGCGGGCCCAGCCTAGCACAGAGGGCCCTGGGTTGGGTGCAGGGTCAGTGCAGGGTCAAGGTCTACCTTGTATGCAACTCGAGCCGGGCATTTCTTCCCCAACCCCAGAGGTGGGGACATGTGTTTCAGCATCTCAAACATGTCATTGTAACTGATGCGCCCACTGGAAACCCGTTCCAGAGGCCAGGCATAGTGGGGTGGTCCACAGGAGAGGCACACGGCAGGAGGGGTAGAGCAGGGAGCGGGCAGGGGAGGAAGCAGACAAGAAAACAGATTCAGTTAACCAAAGTGTCGGGTAAACGCCCCAAATCAAAACAAGTAAAATGAGGGAGTCTCTGCTTGACTTGACCCTTGCTTGCCCCCACCCCCAGCCTCACCTCCTCATAGCAGCCCAGTGCAGGGCAGCGGGCAGGGGTGACGTCTGAGCTAATGAACATGGAGGGGTTGAGGGAGGGCTGCATCGGGGCGGCTTTGGGTTATAAATTTCTGACTTTACTCTTTTAGAACCGTAGACAAGGCCAAATCAGAGAGAACTGTTTCACCATGCAGGAAGCACTGGCCAGGCTGTGTGGGGCCGGGACGGCTGCCACTGAGAGCCACAACAGCGACACCTGCCTCAGTGGGCAGCTCGGATCTGCTTCCAAGTAAGGCCAGAGGCTAAAGTGGAGAAAGAGCTACGACAGACTAGAAAACCAGAGAAGGAGCCCGGAGCTCTTAGGGGACTAAACTTAAGACCGGGCAAGTCAGCTCCAAGCCCAGAGACGCCCGAGGCCAGCCCAGGGCAGGGCTGCTGCTGAGGTCAGGGCTGGGTGGGAAGGAGACCGCAGGAAGGGAGGAGCTGAGTAAGCTGTGGCCTGGCGCCACTGGTGCCTCTGACAGCACGGGTTGGGACCAACAGGTTGGATGTGCCCCTTGTGGGGCCTGGAACCCACGGTTGGGGACTCAGGGGAGCATCTTGGGGCTGGTGAAGCATCTTCCCAAGTCGAGAGGCTGGGGCTTCCCTCTACCCCAGGGCACCTGCCTGTGGGCTCGGGGTCTCAGAGACACAGCAGAGTCCAGCCTTTCTCCAGAGGGCAGATCTGCCCAGACCCTGCCCTCCGCTCCCAGTTCCAGGCCAGGGCTTTTCTCCCTGAGCTGAGCACATCAATCCAGAAGCGACGCAGGAGGCCTCCTCTTTCTTGTCCCTCTCTCCCTTCCCCCTGGGGCCTGAAAGCCTCTCTGGCCAACAAGGACCCCTGCTCCTTGTTTATTTGCACCACATCCATACTTCTCCTCTGGGCTCGCAGCCTCTGGCCTGTCTGACCAGCAGCCCATTCATAAGAGCCTGCAGGAATGCTGGGTGTGATGGCTGTTGCTTTGGTAAAGGCAGGACCTGTCTCACCCACAACCCCCAGCCCCACTCCCCACACCCAGTCAGCTGGGCCTGCTAGACTCAGCCTAGCCAGGTCAGAAAACTCCTTGGGCACGGTCTCGAAGGCTGCCTGCCTCCAGCCAGCTGGATGGGTTGGGGAGATAAGACAGGGAACCACAGTATCCAGGATGCTGGAATGCAGGGCAGGGCAGGACAGAGGAAAGAGAAGGTGAGGTGTTGTCATTCCCGAGTCAGGCAGGGAGTGTGTGCAGTGTTTGCGATTCGGGCAGGGAAGTATGTCAGATGGAGGCTCTGAAGTTGCAAACCTTGTAGGCCAACCTACGAGGGCAGTTCTTTCCTAAGCCAACGGGTGGCGCAATACAACGCAACAAACTGTACATATCCTTATAATGAATCCGGCAACTGGAAAGGAAATGTCACAGGTTATGGCAACAAGGCATGATGGAGCCCGTCCCACCGACCCACCCAGTCTGCAATGGAAGATGAGCTGTGAGGTGGAGGTGAGAGTCACGACTAGACAGTACTTCCTAGTGGGACCTGGAGTCCAATGCTCCCTGGAAAATGGCAGCCCCAAGATAATCCCTACAGTGAATGAAGCCAGGAAACACTCAGAATAACATGCTGTCTACGCCAGCGGCACCCCCCGTGAGCCCCGCTTTGCACCCTGTGCCACGCCTATCATTGCACTTGCTGTCTAATCCCCTCTTTCAGCTCCCCAGTGCCAGAGCCCTTTTCCACAGGGCTCCTCCTTCTGACCTTTGCTCTCACTACCATGACACGCCCCACCCATTTCTCAGATGCAGAAACCCTGCGCAGAAGTGCACAACTAAATGCCTCTAGATTGCCCCCATCTCCTTGGACACACTGGTGTCCCCTGGAATCTGGCCAGCACTGACCCCCTTTCTCCTCTGTTTCTACCCTCTTAGTTCAATCAGCATCAAACCACACCCAGTTTTCTGTGTTTACCCCTTATTTGCTAATCTTGCTGGACCCCAGGGACAATGGCAATGGGGGCCATGCCACCAAGTCTGTAATATGACAGCAGCATCATGTGGGCATGACACTGTTAATCCTGCTATTTCTGGGGATTTTCCCAAAAATATTCAAAAGCTCCCCCACTGTCTACCAAGAAAAAAAAGGCAAAGTTACCCCATTTAACACTATTTCAATCTCATTCTCTCTGCTTTTAGTACTCGCTCGAGCCTCGTATCGTCCACCCTGCTCGCCCCTCACATCTGTGCCCACCCAGCAACCTAGAACTCGGTTCCTCTTCCGCTCGCCTCCTTTGGTACAGTTCCCATGCCACATGACCTCTCCCTCCCTCACAACATCCTGGCCTCCAGCTGTGGTCACACGACTAACCCATCACACAGCCTGGCTTACGGTTTCATCTTTGGGACCCAGACCAGGACACAGCAGAAGCTGAGGAAATGCTTACTGAACAGATGGGTGAGTATGTGACTGTCATTGGCATTTTGAGACTCCGTGCCTCAACACGCTGTGTTGAAGCCACAAGAGGGAGGCCGGAGAAACATCCACGGCTCCCAAGAGCACCATGCCTTTCTAGTATCCCACAACATGTGTAAGCACAGCGCACAAATGACACATAAGCACCCTAACATGTACATACATACACACCTACATACATGTAATGACTTACAGATACATATAGCATACATGTATACTTACCATACATATATAGATGTGTATGCATAAAGTCTCTCACACACATACACAGAGATAAACTCACATGGATACACAAAACATGTTTGTATGCATGAATGTGCCTATGTGTGCATAATCTATGTCCATATTTCTGTGCAAATGCATAGGACACATAGGCTCCTTCACATAAACACACGTGCATACACATACACAAATGTTAGAAAATTTGACTGTTTGTGTGTGGTTTCAAAGTTTTTCTCAGATGATGAGAAACATCATGTGGTTGCTTGGGAAATAAAGACAACCACCTGCCAGGTGTGCAGTGACCCTGTTCAGATGTAGGGTCCAGCTCTAACCTGTTTGGGTGCACCGTCAAGTCTCAGCTCCTGGAGTAGTGTGGAGGGGAACCAGCATCAACCTCAGTGCTCACTGGTGTACTTGTACTTTGGGTTGCTTGATCCTGTTTTCTGGCCATGTGTTACCTCTGCCTCAAGGCTTGCGTTTGGCCATCTCTTTAACTTGCCCGTTACTTGCAGGACCCCAGGTTCCCCAGCTCTTGACTTAGGAAACAGACTGAAGTCTACTGTGCATGGCTGCACGGCTGTACTCAGGCCATGTCTGTTCGCTAAGCACTGCTGTGAACATAACTCCCTCTCTTGGTTACAACCAATGGTCCGAACTGGGGACGCTGCTCCTTTGCAGCTGGCCTCCAGTGCAGAGTGCACTGTACAGAACATCTGTTTTCTGCAGCACATATTCCTCTCGGGAAGACATCCCAGAAACAGCAGTGACTCTTCAGGTCATAGCCAGGATCACTGGGGCGTGCCAAGGAGCACTTCTGCAGTTGGAGCCTGTCCTGCCCTTTTTATGCCAAGGTCTAGTGTCCCCAAGGCACCCCACCCCAGTGACATACCTAACCACAGAACCAATGTAATATCCCTGGGCCTATGCATCTCAGTAAGGGTCTTGGACATTCTAGGGAAAGCATATGGCTATATCAGAGATGAGAAGCCTCTGCGAAGTAAAAAACTGATCAAGTACAAATGCAATAACAACAACAGATGGTTCTGCTGCCTCTGGCCTATGTAAAAACTGAAGATTTCTCATATAAATGGAAAATATACATGGAGATGTTGTCAGTCCAAATAGCCCCAACAGAAGAGACCTGAGTCCCAGGCTCCTAACCAATGCTGTGAAACTTCTAGGACTACAGCTTCATGAGGCACCCCAGAAAGCACCCTGTGAGAGGCAGACAGGGGCAAGTGAGGAATTGAATACAACCACAGTCTTCTTGTCCATCTCTAGGGGCAGAGGAGAGGCAGACAGGGGCAACAGGAATCTTCTAGCCCAGCAGAAGAAAGTCCAGCTATCCCTCAAGTCCTCTGGGTGGACTGAGCACTCCTGTGATGAGCATCAAGTTAGGGAAGAGGGGGCAGAATCCAAGGGCTCCTTGGGAAGCAGGACTCTGACCAGTAGTCTGACCATATCTTCTAGTTCTCCACCAGCAACCTAAACATCCTCCAGACACCTGAGCATGCCCAGCCTAACTACCTCCTCCAGGCTCTCCACGAGGACCCTGACTATCATCAGTCATCTGACTCTCCCATAGAAAATGCTGAACACAGACCTATGACAGGCAGGCCAGGGCAGGCAGGGAACTGCCTACAGCTACAGTTTCCTCGTCCATCCCTAGGGCATAGGAAGTGAACGCTCATTCATTCAAACTGTTCATTCCCAGCACAGTTCTTGAACAGTCACGGTAAATGAAACAAGAGGCCTGTATCTCCCCATCAGTCCGCTCCTGCAGCCTCTTTCTCTATAACCTGTCTTATAGGGAAGAGCCTTAGCGATCACCACTTGAGCGACTGAATAAGAGAATATGTGACGAGCAGTTAAGAAATGACTGAGCAAGTGAATGTGTGGGTATGCGGTCAATGCTGAGCGTCAGCGGAACGGGATCAAGAATCGCCCAAGGGACGAGCCTCTGAGCTGTCTCTCTGTGAGAGAATGTCTAGGCTGGATTGAGATGGGAAGCCCCAGTCTAAACGTAGGGGAGATCATTCCAAGGGCTGGGGTCCCAGACTGAAGGAAAAGAAAAACGGGAGCTGAACCCCAGCATCCATCTATGACTGTGACCAGCTGTCTCGGGCTCCCGCCACTATGCCTTCCCTCCGTGCTAGGTTTATCACTTAAACTATAAGCCCAGACTAGCCAGACTGTGGCGCACACCTTTAATCCCAGCACTCGGGAAGCAGAGGCAGGCGGATCTCTGTGAGTTCGAGGCCAGCCTGGTCTACAGAGAGAGTTCCAGGATAGCCAAGGGCTATACAGAGAAACCCTGTCTCACAAAACAAAAGCAAGCAAACAAACAAAAACCTATAAGCCAAAATAGATTTTCTTCCTTAAGTTGTTTTTTTGTGAGATAGATAGATAGATACAATCACAGAACCAAAAAAGTCATTAACACAGTGAAGAAGTGAACAAGGAAACAGGTGAGAGAAGATGAAGGAGTGCACGAGTAAATGAAATGAGCGCTCAGAGTATTCAGGGCCAGGTAGGCAAAGGGATGAACACACACACACAGATGGAGAGCCCCTGGTGTCCTGCTTGCCTGCCTTCCTGAGTACGGTCTCTGGCATGAGAGATTCGTACGGCAGAATGTTTCAGGGCTCTCTGTGGAACCCGGCGCCAAACAACTTTGACTTTTGAACCCAAACCACTCCGTGAGGCCCTTGCTGTCTAGAAACAAATCACACCTAACTTACGTAGCATAGTAACTGTTTCCTGCGTTGATTAAAGGAGCAGAAACATAATAAGACCTTCCCAGTTCCTCTGGTTTTAATAAAGCTCCACCTAGCAACCTACAACATGCAACTGGGGCTAGGAACAGACATACACAGGCTCCTGTCTCCAAAAGAAATGGCAGAGAGGAAAACCCAAGTCCATCTAGAGAAATATTTAAAGCCCACATTATGGACAGTAGGGTAGAGTTGGCACAGTGCCAGCCCAACTAACACACGTCTCTGGGCTCAGTCACCAATACTTTAAATGTCAGCAGCAGCGGCAGCAAAACCCACACGTGACATTTGCTCTCAAGCCCTGATCGTTACACAGGTCTCCTCCACATTTGTCTCTTCGCCCTCCCGCACTGGATCACATGTCCATCACACAAGCCTTGGGAGAAGGCAGGACACTTCTGTGCAAAGAGCCCTGGAAATGTCCCTGACCCCCAGGCATAGGCACTCTCCTGAGGAGCATACTGAGGGTCTCAAAGACTGTGTCTCTGTCCCAGAGTTGCACCAAGGCATGGGGTCAAAGAGAAACGTGTTCCGAAAGGGGGACCATTGCTACCATATGCGGAACCGGGTTAAGTCCCTAGGCCTCAGACCAACACCTGAGGGGGACAAGCACATGGGGCTGTCTAAGTCCACCCTGGCCCTGTCTGGAGAGCCACAGGTAATGACAGCCCTGAGGACCATAGAGCGCTGGTGCTCACTCACCACGCAGCTGGGTCGTACTCAGCCCAGACTCGAATGAATTCATCTAGGTGGTGAGGCCCTAGGATGGAAGAGTCCCGCGTGAGGTACTCAAAATTGTCCATGATCACAGCAACAAAGAGGTTCAGCATCTGCAGGGAGAAGGAGAAGAGGAGGCACATGATCCAGTGGGCCTCCTTACCCGCCCTCCAGCTCTGCCCACTCTTATTGGTAAGGCCTCCCTGCACTGGGACTTCCAGGATCTCCTCAGTCTCGGGGATTCTTAACCCCAGAAATCCTAATTTTTACTCCTGAAAAGACAGAAAGACTAAAAGACAGAAAATCATTTCCCTACAAGCGCCGCTGTCAAAAATGACCTGGCCGGACTACAGACGGCACTGTTGTGCTGCCCGGTGCTCCCATGCGGCCCCTGCAGCGTGCTCAATAAGCCTGTCAATCATCTGAAGCAATAGATAGACATTAAAACCAAGAGCCATAGTGTTAGGTAATGTCTAGATTATTGACTTTCTTTGACTGGCTTAGACACCTATCCTTATGTCAACAACACTGTTTTCATTACTATTGCTTTGTGCGAAGTCTAGGCTGGCTAGAGCCTGCTATACAGCAGAAGATGACCTGACGTTTCTGATCCTCCACCTTCTGGGTACTGGAATTATCGGTGCATGCCCACCACACCCAGTTTATGCCATGAATGCTAGGCAAGCATTCTGCCAGGCACAGAGGGGCACATCTGTAACCCAGCACTAGTGAAGCTCATGCAACAGCCGGCAAAGCCAAACTGATGCACTCTAGGTTCAGCAGGGGCCCTGTTTCAAAAAAATAAGGTAGAGAGCAAATTGGGGAAGCAAATACCTGGCATGAACCTCTGGCTTCCACATGCATATGCACCCCCTACACACGCATGCACACACTCATAGAAACACATACATAAACACACACACACACACACATGAAAGGGGAGGAGGCTGGAGAAATGACTCGCAGTTAAGAACATCTGGAGTTAGGTTTACCACATCCATATAGGTGGCTCACAACTGCCTGTGACCCTCCAGGGAATATAATACTCTCTTCTGGCCTTTCGGGACACACTTAGACACAGTGAGATGTGCATGTGCAAAAATAAAAATAAGGATGTCTTTTATTTTTAAGGAAAAAGCTCAGATTTCTGGATCCTTTCTCCAGAGCTATAGGAAGCCTGAGGCAGAGCCCGGTACTTCTCCTCTCCCCCGTGGGTGTATGTGTGTATTGTGTGTAGTTGTGTATGTGTGTATTGTGTGTAGTTGTGTATGTGTATATTGCGTGTAGTTGCTCCTGTTTTCTGGTGTGGACCCTGAGCTTCAGTGACCCAGTCAGCTCCACACTGCGCTCCTCTCAGCACTGGGGTTACGTACAGCTCTCACATAGGTGCTGAGGAACTCAGGTCCTCCTGCTTGGATGGCAGGCGCTTTACCGCCTGAGTCATTTTCCTAGCCTAAGGGCTCTGCACTTCTAATAGGCACTCAGGAGATTGGTGCTGCTGAAGTCCCACACATGAGCTGCTGGGCTGTGTGTCGTGGACACAGAAGGCACAGTTCAGCTACACTGCCACCTCGACACGGGGCTAACTCATTCACATATCCCGCCCTGAGATCTGTGCGGTGTCTCTCCTGCCTTTTAACCTACGCTGGCAGAGCTGCATGCGTCCATCAGCGGGAGGGCCCACACTTAGTGCTTAGAAAATCCCAGAGCATGGCTTTCTTTTCTCTTCTTCAATCAGCTCTACCTTCAAGTTGTAGATGAGCCCTCCCCAAATCTCTCAGCCTCCTCTTGGCCACTGTCTCTCCACTCATTCTGCAGCTCCATCCCTTACTGTCCAAGGTTCCTGGGGTTCCCCATGCCTAAGAACCAGGCCACCAACCTTTTACATCTAATCCTAGAGTTACTTACTCAGCAACCCAGGCACCCTGCCTCAATGAACTCCATTGCCACAGTGCACACAGGCTTTTAGCATGAGACTAGCGTATAATGTGGACTTGATCAAACTCGGGACCCAACAAAGTGATGGCCTGAGACAGACAAACGTGGCCCAAGGAAAGGACTTACCAGGAAGGAACAAAGGAAGATGAAGGAGACGAAATAAAAGTAGGCAAAGTCGCTCCCACACTCGCTGGCGTTGGCATGGGGATCGCAGGCCCGGTTGCCCAGACAAGACAGCATGATCTCATGCCAGGCCTCCCCAGTGGCACTCCTGAGAAGGACAGAGTGGTAAGCACACAAAGGCAGGCCCAGGGGGAGCTGCCCAGCAAGCCCAGAGCCTGGGTGGCAGAGCCATTGGGACAGCGGGGTCGAGGGAACCTCCTCTTATGAGGTTTTGTACAAGTGCAGAGCCCGGATGACAGGAGATTTCCAAACCGACCACTAACTGAGAAAGCCCTGGAAGTGGCCTATGCACTGGGAGCTTGCCCGCCGTGCACACTAACTCCCGTGTGCACACAACATGCTCCAGCACGCTCCTGACTTTAGAAACTCAGTCTTCCTCATCCTCGTCATCCTTTAACTCTGTGGCCAGTCTAGCGACCACTTTCTGCGTTCAGCCACCAGCCTGCCATCAGGAAGACCACTGTTCCCCTTTATCAGCTCTGAGCAAGAATGCCAGAGTGGCATCCCACTGTCTCGCAGGGTCTCAGCAGGGCGGGGGGTGTAGCCCATTTCCTCAGTCTAGAGCCAGAGATGGCCGATAAAAGACTGTAAGAGGCAGAGAGGTATCTCACACCTTCCTCCTACTTCAAGCCTCAGAACACTTCTGAGGAAGACTGGGGGTATCTACAGCCCTAGAGCTCGTGCAGATGGGCCTCTGCTCTGGCCCCTGAGTGTCGCCTGCTACTTTTCTGAAGGCACCCAGGAGTCTGGGCCACTGTGGTTCCAGCGAGAGCAATGGGGGAAGGGCAGAGAGTGAAGGCACATTCAGATCACCAGTTTGGTGGAGCTGGCTCTTCTCTCTAAGTAGCTGAAAACTCTCTGGGGGTCCTGTTTCTCTTTTATCCATTGATGCAGGTGCTGCCAGCACAGTGATCAGGTCCAAGGGGACCTTGCCAAGCACCTGCTGCCCGCCCACACTGTACTGCCTCCAGACACCTTTTGGCTCTCACTGGGGAGCAGCGCTACAGGTTAGGTTGGCACAGGGGCCACAGGATCCCTCCCCCGGGTACTTCTTTTCTATCAAGAGGAGGCAGACAAGAGCCCTTTGGAAAAAATAAATAAAAGAACTGGAAGGACCACTCGACAGAAGTGGCATTATTTTGGTTCTGGAAAGGACGTAGTCCCCATGAATGGAACTGATCCTTGTCTACCATTTGAAGAGTGGACACGCTCTTCAGGTGAACAACAGCGCACCTGAACAACAGCATCAAGGCTTGCAGAAATGTTCGGAAGTTGTTGTGTCGGTTGATACTGGTGTCGTCATCAAGGGCAATGTTTCCAAAAACCTGAAATGGAGAAAAATAACAGAATATCAGCGCTGGATTTGGGGAGCTATACTCACTAGATGGGGCAAGAGAAAGTGTGCATGCATCACTGAGGTCAGCACAAGAGATGGGGTCACCTGGGACCACCGCAGGTCCCAAACAGACAACCTTTGGGTGGAGCACACTCATCCCTCAGCTCCGAGCATGCGGCTGGGGCTCGGAGTCTACCCACGGATGCAAGTCTGAGTAGCCCGGATACGTGGGGCTTGGACTCCGCTTTGACTAGGAAGGAAGCCTTTTAGGTCACTCTCTAGTCTAAAACTATAATTAGGTTGGTAACAGCTTGGGGAATGCTCTTTGGGATCTCCTGTGCAAACAGCACAATGGGCAATCTAACAGACTGCTTCCAGGATAAGAAATGCAGATGAGTCAGAAGCCAAGCTAAGCCTAATACCCAGACTAAGTGAAAGTCTATGAACTATCATCGTTCCACAAAGATCAGAGAAACACACGTTATTGGACAACCACAGACAAAAGCAACAAAAAGATGTACATGTTTGTTTTAAATAGCATCAAATCTCAGGAAAGCTTTATAAACTGAGAAAACTGCAGTCTGAAATAAGAGTCTTAGAATTCATAAAGCTCAAGGCTTAGGCACCTCCTGTCTACACTGTTCAGAAGTGGCCACATTTACAGTTAGGATGCTGATTTAAATCTTCTGAATGCTCTTTTGCCCCGAAGAATTAGCACAGCAGTATTCTTTGACAAAATAAAGAAAAACCAAGTTATTGTCAAGTTCAATGATCTGGTGGGAGGGGGTTCTGCCTACATTCTGGGAAGGATTTCTCAGTAACATCTGACCTTTAACTGGCTGCTGGACAGCATGGAGCCACCAGTCAGACGCTGGTGACTAATCTAAAAGTGCCTGGATGGACATCCTAACCCCTGGTGGACCTCACTTTCAAAAACACCGAAGTATGGCTTCCCAGGGAAACGGGAGTGAGCAAAATGGGTGGCTGTGAGCCCAGGCTGTGCTGTCCTGGTTTCCTCTGCCACAACGCAGCGCTTCTGGGGCTGAATTCAATGCTTACACCAGTATCTGGTTCACAGTAAACGATAGGTTCATTGTATTATCATCATTTAATGGCAGTGGCCCATATCCCTTTCACCCGGCAGACAGGAGCCCTGTGTCCAATCCAATCTGGGCAGGTGGCACCCACCTGCATGCCGATGATGGCGTAGATGAAGAACAGCATGGCAATGAGGAGGCACACGTAGGGCAGCGCCTGGAGACACATGAGCACATCAGCTCCAGGGCATCCCTGAGGCTACACACACCTCAGCCTGGCCCAACTCCACCCCCATTGACCACTGAGCCCTTCCAGCAGCAAGCGGCCCTGTCTGCTTGTCTGTGACCTGAGAGCACAAACCTAGCTCAGAGTTGTGCGGGTGTTAGGAAGTAACCTACTGCTCACTCAGAAGGTCTTTAGGGATCTGCACTAGGAGAGCAGATGCCGAAGAGGCAAGCAAGCCCTGCCCTCGCTCAGCCTTCTAGAGGAAGCTCCACTCTGGGTCGGGGAGAGGAAGCGTGGCAAAGGAAGAGAAACGGAAACTGCCCAAGGGAGCGGTCCAGCCCTTACCGGAGCCCTGCTTTACCTTAAAGGACTGGACGAAGGTCCACAGCAGGATGCGGATGGTGTAGCCCTGGCGAAGCAGTTTGATCAGCCGGGCCGCACGGAAGAGGCGGAGGAAGCTCAAATTGATGAAATTGTTCTGCAAAGAAGAAGCATTGTTTGGAATCTCTCTCCAAAAGGGCAGACAGGCTGCGTCCATCCTACAACCCTTCCCCAGGTCCCTGTGACCCCCAAAGAAACGTGGTTAAAAGAAATGAAAAGGAAACCATTGCTTTAGCCTAAGCAGCAACTGGCTGCACAGACATCCTTCCTTAAGAAAAGCTTGTCACCGTAAGTCAGTTCTCAAGTCAAGAGAAAATCCCTTCACACTAGGGCAGTTCCCCAACAGTAAAGGACATAAAGAAAAACTCTCCAATGTCCCCCCTTCCGCCAGGTAGTGCTGGGAGATCACCTATGAGCCTTGAATGTTGGCAACCTCTCCTAGAACACTGCCAAACCGCCCAGGTACTCTCCCAAGGGCATTCCTGAAGTGACCCCTGCCTGAGCTTAGCAGTCAATCTTCCCTTCTGGGTTCAATCAGGAAAGGGCTTGCCTGTCTGAGGCACTAACTGGCTTCTCTGGGACTGGTCCAGATGTTAGCAGACACTCTCATAAGGGGCAGGAATGGTCACTGCTGTTGTTACCACAGACGCTATCTGTGCCACCCACACTCAGGCCTCTGTTCTAGAGAACCTAGGACATTGGGCATTGCTCCCTCAACCAAGGGTTCAAAACCAAGTACACGAAAATAATAAACCATTAAGCCCCAGACTCTAAAGATTACCTGACCCTGGGCACCTTGGGTTACTGACAGGCCTTTTCAGGGCTCTGGATCTGTGGCGGTATCCGTGCTCTGACAGCGCACCTGCGCAGCCAGGTGTTGTCTGCCTATTTAGACACCAGGCGCCTATGCTATCGCCTGAAAGCAACTTCCTACCGTTTGGCAGTTTTCAATATGCAAGCAGCTCAGGCTCATACACGTTTGTGTTGTCAAGATTCAGTGACGAATGAAAAGGAAAGAGGAGACAAATGTTGAATGAGACAGAAAAGCAGGACAGTACATGCAGACACGGAAGCAGGATGCTCCAGGGCTGCCCATCTTGGTGCGGGGAGGGATGGCTTTCATGCCAGCTTCCAATGGACATCTGCCTTGTCTGTTGCTTCCACTCTTGGGAACGGATTTGTACAGCTCTCAACCAGAGTAACAATGTTTCTGGACTGTTCATGCAAGGGGTGAGGTATAGTCACCTTGACGGTGATTCTGGGCAGGATGTGGGTGCCTTAGAAGCAGCACTGATTTTAGACACTATACAGAAGGGTCTGTGGACACGGAGGGGCCCCAAACTATGTCCAAAACAGCAATGGGGCAAATATCGCCTCAGGGCATGACCCTGAAAGATGGCACAGCTGGCAGACTCCTAGCTCGCAATGAGGAAAGATTCTCGCTTATAGACATTGGGGCCAAGAACCAGTGTCTACTAATACCAAGGATTCGTAGGCAGAAGGCAAGCACCTGCCTCTCTCCGGGCTTCTATTTGGTAACTAACTGTTCAGCTGGGTTTAAGGGACAGGGATTAGAGCAATACAACGCTTGCCCAAATCAAAGCAGCCTGTACCTGTCAAAGAGAAGACCTCCTGAAGAGGGGGAAAATAAGGGCTTCTTGTAGTAAAGGCAGGCCAGAAGGCAATCAGGATGGTGGGGAGGCACTGTAAGCAACAGCATATCTAGATGACCTGAGGTATGAAGGCAAGACTGAACTATGGTCATCTCCACTTTGGTGACAAAGATTCACACCCCTTCCCCCAAGCTCTCCCCTTGGGAGCTCCATAAGTGCTCAGGACTGGACGGGGCAGCAACAGATGGGCAACCCTAGAGTACCGTGAGATTAGATGGTGATGACTGCCAGATGCCCCAAGCACTGAGTGACGGGCTAGGCAACCACCATGCCAAGCACATGCAGGATGGCCAAGGACAAGCAGACAGCTGTGCGTCGTGTGCCTTCACCTCTGGCTGGGTCATCTCACTGGTGGTAGGTATACCAGGCCTGCACTCCCAGGACCCATGGTTTCTGCTGCACGGGAAGTGGCTCCAGCTACCAGGATTGTCCTTGCTTCTGCTTCACTAAGTCTCAGGCATGGGTAGTCTCACTATCAGTCCCTAACACTTCAGTCTCAGCTTCTGCTCACAACCTCGAGAGGCATCCATACCCAGCTGATGAGGCATAACTGGTGGAGAGGGGGAGCTGAAAGTATACTAAGCACTGTACGGCACTCCCAACAAGGATAGCTGGACTTATTCCAGACCTTAAGGCCTGGCATCCAACCCCACGATGGCCTCTAATTAGTCATGAGACCTTGCTCCTGAATGTCACCTGAGCATGACACCCAGATCTATGGACACAGGCTGGTCAAGCACCAAAGGACAAAATTCTGCAGTTCTAAACCAGCTATTCTCTTTCGTTCATTTGAAATGGGTAGAGAGGGAAAGAGACAGACAGACAATGGGTGGTCGTATGGGCTATGTAGAGGAAGATAAGAGACAAGGAGGTATATGGTCAACAAGACAAGACAACAGCCTACAGAATGGGAAAAGATCTTCACCAACCCCACATCAGACAGAGGCTGATCTCCAAAATATACAAAGAACTTAAGAAATTGGCCATCAGAAGAACAAATAATTCAATTTAAAAAAAAAATGGAGTACAGACCTAAACAGAGAACCCTCAACAGAAGAATCTAAAATGGCTGAAAAACACTTAATGCAAATCAAAACAACTCTGAGATTACATCTTATACCTGTAAGAATGGCCAAGATCAAAAACACTGATGACAACTTATGCTCGAGAGGTTGTGGGGAAAAGGGAACATTTCTGTATTGCTGGTGGGAATGCAAGCTGGTATAGCCCCTTTGGATGTCAGTGTGGTGATTTCTCAGAAAATTAGGAAACAACCTTCCTCAAGACCCAGTAATACCACTTTTGGGTATATATCCAAAGGATGTTCAATCGTGTCACAAGGACATGTGCTCAACTATGTTCATAGCAGCATTGTTTGTCATAGCCAGAACCTAGAAACAACCTAAATGCCCCTCAATCAAAGAATGGATAAGGTAGATAAGTGGTACATTTATACAATGGAGTACTTACTACACAGCAGAAAAAAATAATGACATCTTGAATTTTGCAGGAAAATGGATGGAGCTAGAAAACATCATTTTGAGTGAGGTAACCCAGACACAGAAAGACAATTACCACATATGCTCACTCATAAGTGGTTTTTAAACATAAAGCAAAGAAAACCAGCCTACAAACCACAATCCCAGAGAACTTAGACAACAATGAGGACCCTAAGAGAGACTTAAATAGATCTAATCTACATGGGAAGTAGAAAAAGACAAGATCTCCTGAGTAAATTGGGAGCATGGGGACTTTGGGGTTGGGTTGAACGGGAGGGGAGAGGCAGGGAGGGGAGCAGAGAAAAATGTAGAGCTCAATAAAATCAATATATATGAGACAAGGAGGCGAAACTGCCCGGCCTGGCCAGAGCGGCAGAGAAAACATGCCAAAGCATTACAGCAGTATCGCAGTATCTCCTCAAAGCTAACTCCAGCTGTAAAACCTTATACGAAGTGTTCAGCTTCCATAGCAGGGATATCAAATATCTGCCTGTGGGGATGACCTTCCACAGCCACAGGAGATGAGCGGTGACCAAATGCCCCTACTCTCTTCTTCAAACGCTCAAGGACCAGGAGGAGGCCTAGTGCCCGTGAGGCCACAATACACAAAAAAATTCAGGCCCTACACAAACCCTCCCCTACACCTTAGACCTCAGCCCTGACATTCTAAGGAAGAGCTCGTCTACGAAAGGATGGGTGCTACTGGGCTGTGGTGGTTTGAAGAGTTCTTTCGAGACAGGGTTTCTCTGTAGCTTTGGAGCCTGTCCTGGAACTAGCTCTTGTAGACCAGGCTGGCCTCGAACTCACAGAGATCTGCCTGCCTCTGCCTCCTGAGGCATGAGCTCCCCGAGTGCTGGGATTAAAGGTGTGCGCCACCATCGCCCAGCTTGAAGATCTCTTGGACATTTGAATACTTGAACACATAGAATACCTGAACAGCTGTCAGTTGGGGAGGATTAGGTGTGGCCTTCCTTGCTAGAGCCCCTCTGCCTCCTGCTTCTGGTTCAAAATGTGAGCTCTGGGCCACAGTTCCAGCCTCAGGCCTGACTGCTGTGGTGACTGCTCTAATCCCTCTGCAGCAGTGAGCCCCAAACACTTCCCCTTCCGTCAGCTGCTCTCATCATGTTGCCTGATCACAGCAAAAGAAACCACAACTAATTAATACCTGGGGTCCTCACCAGGGGCCATATTGGCAACAACAGGCATTCTCTGTGTTGGCAAGACAGGGGCACAGCAGAAGAGAGGTGAGTGCAACAGAAACCATGGATGCACAGGGAGGAGAGCCAAATATGCCTTGCAAGTTTGAATGGGTTCTAGGTCTGCCCACCACATATCCCAGGAAGTCCCACTTCTTCTCCTCACCGTTTGAAACAGCTCCTAAGAGGGCTCGGAAACCCGTGCTGCCTCAGGATACACCAGAAGAGGCCAGAGGTGAGTCAGTGCAGCAAAAAGAGCTCATGCCTCAGGAGGCAGTGGGCAGAGGCCCCAAGACAAGAGCGGAGGAGCAGAGTAAGCAGAGACGAGAGGCATAAGAACTGTTTAAAGTCGTGAAACCAACCGTTTCCTATGTGTGATGTTTTCATGGATGGGTTTTTGCATTTTATGTACAAAGTGGGGTGGTTTGAGCAGCAGGTGCACAACATACAGACGGAGACATGGGTTTTCGCATTGTATGTTGGTTGGATGGCGTGAGTCAGCAGGTTGGTTAAGGTAAATCAAGAACAAAAACAGGAAACAAAAGAGAAAATGAGTCATCAACACAAGCAAGAACTCAAACTCTGAATACTTAACTAGAAAATGTAGGATTTTGTAAAACCACATAATTTTCTGAAAGTGTGTCATTCAAAGCAAGTTTTTGAAATCTATAGGTTATGCAGACAATGAGATCCATTTGCATTTTTGTTTGTAATGCAAATCCAAAGATG